ACATTTTTTGCAATGATAACTCAAATGTGGTGATCAAACACTTATAATGAGGTGACAAACATAGGCCTATGTAATGGAGGAAGGGTATTTAACAATTTAACTTATTATAAATAACTTGAATAACACAAATAGAACAAAATATATATAAATTGAATTAAGAAATTAAACAAGGTAACTGTGTAGGGAAAGCAAGCTACTGCCAAACCAACAGGGGCAGGTTTATGCAGGAAGCACAGCTTTTCCAAATGTAAACATCTAAAATGAATAAATAATAATAATGAATAATATTTTTCTCACAAACTTTATGCATTTTCTGGTAATCCAATGAACATGCAGGACATTCGTATTTAAATCGTCTTTTTCCAGTTTAATATTCACAGACACAGTCTATATATATATATATATATATATATACACACACTCACCTGTTTTTTATTTATTCATCAAAAATAAGACAAATTCCATGAAATTCCGCATTATACAGTAAATTCCGTTTTTAAGACTGGATTCCGCGATTCCGTCCATGTTTTCTGCATCTCAGAAATCATAGGGCCCTACTAATGTAGCAAACGAATATGATAAGCTCATTGTGAGTAAAAGACGAGGGCATTGTTGTTTATTTACTGAGCATTGAGTCTCTCCAAGTAGTTGACAACGTAGCGTTAAATCACCATTCAACAGACTCAAGCCACCTCCGCACTGCCGTCTATTGGACTGCAGAAAGATACTACATTTTCAATCTGCTACGTTACGGACTGTACTGACAAACTATGCTGACCGTGTCTGCGCCGCATCAGAACGCGACAAAGCGACCGTTGAAAATCATTTGAACTTCTGTCAGCACGTCATATATAGAACGAGGCATCAGTTGACTGAATCCAGTGTAGACAACAATGTGTGTGTATATATATATATATATATATATATATATATATATATATACACACACACACGAGCAGCGCGACAAAATACAATAGAATTCGTATTGCTGGTAAACACCAGCATTGAGTGGCCGCAATGCGCCACAGACGCGTGCCGCGCAGATCAGCTGTAGTCTCTTAACGTTACTAAATCTGCTGTTAATAATGAGCCATCCATTCATCATATCATCATGCAAAACTAAGAATTGGAATCATTGTAATGTGACGATCAAATATAGGTGCGGGTGGGTGGCGGGCGGATAATTTGAAGCAGCAGACTCGGGTGAAGTTTGAGCTCATCCACGCATCTCTACACTACACTGACCTGGGTCGCCAGTAGCAAACAATGGAAACAAACAAACTAAGTAATTACACCATTCAGAAGCATTTAATCTGCGTTATATTAGGGCTGTGCGATTTGGGGGAAAATATCAAATAGTGATTTTTTTGACAGATATTGCGATTTGATTTGCGATTTTAAATTTGCAAAGTCAAGCTTCAGCTCAATATTGCCAATAATGTGCAGCACAGTATGGGTATCATTACCCTGCTGAAAAAAACAATAGAAACCATCACAGAAATTCTTATAGTTTCCAT